GCTTTTGGTGCCATCTTCGTAGAAAGCCAAGCTTTTCTTTAAAGAAGTTTATAGTCCTTGGTTTTAGTCCTAGGTCCATGATCTACCTTGAGTTGGTTTTTGTATATGGAGTGAGGTGTGGATCTTGCTTGAGTCTTCTGCAGATAGCTTTCCAGTTTTGCCAGCGCCATTTGTTAAAAAGGCTGTCATTTCCCCACTTAACTGATTTCATCTCCTTGTCAAAAATCAGTTGACAATAGGTAGGTGGGCTGATTTCTGGGTTCTCAATTCTCTTCCTTTGATCTATGTGTCTTTCATTGTACCAGTACCATGCTGTCTTAACCACCATGACAGTGTAGTAGGATTTGAAATCAGGGAGAGAGATGCCTCCTACCTTTTTTCTATTTTTAAGGAGTGCTTTGCTTATTTGGGGCTTCTTTCTATTCCATATGAAACTAGAGATTACCTTTTCCATCTTGTTGAAGAATGGGATTGGTATGTGTTTTGAGATTGCATTGAACATGTAAATTGCCTTTGGTAGTATTGCCATTTTCACCATATTGAGTCTTCCTATCCATGAGCAAGGGATATTCTTCCACTTCTCCAGGTCTCTTTTTGTTTCTTGTAGATTTTATTTTCTCAGTTGAATGGGGATATATTTTTTTCCCCCTGTCCTCCTCATGTTTTTTATGAACAGGACAATTGCTTTTTACTATTTTATGTTCCTGTTCACCAAGAGTGACCCCTCGCCCATACTTTGGGTGTGTTGGTATGTCGCTAGGAGAGGTTATTTCTTGGAGAGGGTCATCATGCTTGACAAGGTGGAGGGGTGGCAGAAGAGAGGAAGACCCTCAACCAGGTCGGTTGACAAGGTGACTAAGGCAATGGGTTTGAGTGTGTCAAAGATTGTGAGGGTGGCACAAGATAGGACATTGTTCAGATTGGTTGTTTATAGGGTCTCTAATGTTGAGACTAGTACTTGGAGAAGAACTTCATGCTTGGAAAGGTGGAGGGATATCACAAGAAAGGAAGACCTTGTGTGAGATGGTTTGACTCAGTATCTGGAGTATTAGGATAGGTGTGTTGGAGACAGTGAAATTTGCTCAGGATAGGGCAGGGTTCAGAGCTCTTGTACATAGGGTCACTATGAGTCACAGGCTACTCTATGGCACATAGCAACAACAACAATGAGCGATGAGATTTTCTTCAATATGAATAATACACTTTTTCATTACTGTGAATAGAGATAATTCTTTTCCTATTGTCAATTTGGCACAGTTGGATCCTGGGATCAGTGTTTTTCATTTATTTGAAAGCTGGGTGTAATCTGTTAGGGCATTTCAGATTGTGTTAGCAATCAAGTGTAAGCCTATTAACTGTTTCTGATTTTGTTTACAATCACCTGTGGATAGGAAGCCTCTTGTGTAGGCAAACAGGATCTGGTGGGCAGACCTTTGTATATAAATGTCAGTTGATTTAATTGTGTTTAGAGGGAACGTTGTTCTAAGTGGTGCAGTACTTGTCTCTCTGTTTGCTGTACTGAGGTAACTTGAGGTTTCTGTGATACTGAAATTTGTGCCACTGAAATAAAATGGTCATAAGGGTTTCTCATTGTGGACAGGTTTTGGTGGTGCTCGCTGATTAAGACAGACTAGGAAGCAGGATGGACCATTTACTTCCTAAATAATAGGCCTTTGAAAACCCTATGAATATTAAACAGAGAGGATAGTTATAGTAGTGTAGTGGTAGAGCCCAGATTGGAAGTCAGTTGAAATGAGGAAAATCAATATCAAACATCATTTAATAATTGGAACATGGACTGTACCTAGCTTCAATGTTGGAAGACTGGAAATTGTTAAAAATGAATGGAATGCATGAATATTGACATACTAGGCATTGGTGAGATGAGATGGACCAGCTTTGGCCACTTTGAATCAGGTAAATCATATGGTATACTGTCCAGGGGATGAAAACCAGAGGAAGAATAATGTTGCATTCACAGTCAAAAAGTCAATTTTAAGGTCTATCCTGAAACACAGTGTTGTGAGTGATAGGATAATATCCATACACATACTAGGAAGATCCATCAACACAACTCTTATACAAATATATGCTCCTACATCTAGAGCTAAAGGAGAAGACACTGAAAATTTTTACCAAATTTTGCAGCCTGAAATTGACAGAACATGCAGTCAGGATGTGTTAATGATAATTGGTGACTGGAATGCAAAAGTAGCAAACAGTGAAGGAGGAACAGTTGTTGGAAAATATGGGGTTGGTGATAGAAATGAGGCTGGAAATAGAATGATTGAATTTTGTATTTACAGTGATTTATGAAGGGCTGCATAGGAATCATTTTTACTCCATTTGTGGAAGAAAGCATTGGAGAAGCTTAATATTGGTTGTCAAAACTAGGTCAGGGGTAGACTGTGGGTTAGATCATTAGTTACTCATATGCAAGTTCAAATTGAGGCTGAAGAAAAGGAAATAAGTCCATAGGAACCAGGATAGGATCTTGAATCAGTTCCATTTGAATTTCATGATCATCGTAAGAATAGGTTTGAGGCTTTGAACACCAGTCATCGAAGACCAGATGAGTTGTGGGATGATATCAAGGATATCTATCATCCATGAAGAAAGCAAAAGGTCATTACAAAAACAGAGGAGAAAGCAAAAATTGAAATGGATGTTAGAAGAGACTCCAAAGATTGCACTGGAGTGTCAAGAAGCCAAAACTAAAGGAAAACATATTGAATTAAAAGAGCTGACCAGACCATTTCAAAGGACAGCTCAGGAGGACAAAGCAAAGTCTTATAACAGAATGTGCAGAGAGCT